AAGAACACAACCGATAGTACTGTATCATCCTTTGCAGATGACACTAGGATTTTTATGAGTAGACAACATAGAGGACACGGCAAACCTCCAATCAGACGTAAATCAGGTCTTTCTATGGGCTACAAAAAATAATAAAAAATAATATGGTATTTAATAAAGATACGTTCGTGATACAAAAAAAATGAAAATATCAAAAAGGAAACCACGTACAAAACGCAGCCAAATCATTTCATAGAACGAAAAGGCAATGTAAAGGATCTGGGTGTACTCATGTGGGAAGACCTTACCTTTAAAGAACACAATAAAGTAGCCGTCACAACTGCAAGAAAAATGACAGGTTGGATAACAAGAACTTTCCACACTAGAGATGCTATACCGATGATGATACTCTTTAAGACGCTAGTGCTCTCTAGAGTGGAGTACTGCTGCACAATGACAGCACCTTTCAAAGCTGGAGAAATTGCTGACCTAGAGAGCGTGCAGAGATCCTTTACTGCTAGAATCCACTCAGTAAAACATCTAAACTATTGGGACCGACTAAAGAGCCTAAATCTGTATTCCCTTGAGTGCAGGCGGGAGAGGTACATAATAATTTACAATAATTTAATTTAAAATAGTAGAGGGGCTGGTCCCAAACCTGCACACAGAAATAACCCCACACGAGACCAGAAGACATGGCAGGATGTGCAGAATACCCCCGTTGAAAAGCAGAGGTACAACAGGTACTCAGAGAGAACTCTATCAACATCAGAGGCCCGAGACTGTTCAACACGCTTCCACTACACATAAGGGGCATAACTGGCCGACCCCTCACAGTGTTCAAGAGAGAACTATCAACATCAGAGGCCCGAGACTGTTCAACACGCTTCCACTACACATAAGGGGCATAACTGGCAGACCCCTCACAGTGTTCAAGAGAGAACTATCAACATCAGAGGCCCGAGACTGTTCAACACGCTTCCACTACACATAAGGGGCATAACTGGCAGACCCCTCACAGTGTTCAAGAGAGAACTATCAACATCAGAGGCCCGAGACTGTTCAACACGCTTCCACTACACATAAGGGACATAACTGGCCGACCCCTCACAGTGTTCAAGAGAGAACTATCAACATCAGAGGCCCGAGATTGTTCAACACGCTTCCACTACACATAAGGGGCATAACTGGCCGACCCCTCACAGTGTTCAAGAGAGAACTATCAACATCAGAGGCCCGAGACTGTTCAACACGCTTCCACTACACATAAGGGGCATAACTGGCAGACCCCTCACAGTGTTCAAGAGAGAACTATCAACATCAGAGGCCCGAGACTGTTCAACACGCTTCCACTACACATAAGGGACATAACTGGCCGACCCCTCACAGTGTTCAAGAGAGAACTATCAACATCAGAGGCCCGAGATTGTTCAACACGCTTCCACTACACATAAGGGACATAACTGGCCGACCCCTCACAGTGTTCAAGAGAGAACTATATCAACATCAGAGGCCCGAGACTGTTCAACACGCTTCCACTACACATAAGGGACATAACTGGCCGACCCCTCACAGTGTTCAAGAGAGAACTATCAACATCAGAGGCCCGAGACTGTTCAACACGCTTCCACTACACATAAGGGACATAACTGGCCGACCCCTCACAGTGTTCAAGAGAGAACTATCAACATCAGAGGCCCGAGACTGTTCAACAAGCTTCCACTACACATAAGGGTCATAACTGGCCGACCCCTCACAGTGTTCAAGAGAGAACTATCAACATCAGAGGCCCGAGACTGTTCAACAAGCTTCCACTACACATAAGGGACATAACTGGCCGACCCCTCACAGTGTTCAAGAGAGAACTATCAACATCAGAGGCCCGAGATTGTTCAACACGCTTCCACTACACATAAGGGACATAACTGGCCGACCCCTCACAGTGTTCAAGAGAGAACTTGATAAACACCTTCAAAGGATACCTGATCAACCAGACTGTGACTAATACGTCAGTTTACATACGCGTCCAACAGCCTGGTTGACCAGACGACCAACCGGGAGGCCTGGTCCAGGACCGTGCCGCGGGGACATTGTGCCCCGAAATCACCGCAAGGTAAGGTGCCTCTTGCCCGCCTTATCATCCTCCCTCCCCCCCCTCTAATGTAGTAGTAACCCCCCCCCCCCCCCGACAACTTCGATGCCTGATTACTACAATCAATCAGTTATCTATCTAGGGTCCCCCCGGGAACACCCCCCCCCCACCCCCAGCTTGATTTCACTATGTGAAACGGGTTCTACGATTTAAGCTTTTAACCTACATAAATGGGTTAATTTACATCAACCTACAAAGCCCATCTCACAGCCTAGTCAGCCCCGCCTTCCTAGCCTAGTCAGCCCCGCCTTCCTAGCCTAGTCAGCCCCGCCTTCCTAGCCTAGCCAGCCCCGCCTTCCTAGCCTAGTCAGCCCCGCCTTCCTAGCCTAGTCAGCCCCGCCTTCCTAGCCTAGTCAGCCCCGCCTTCCTGGCCTAGTCAGCCCCGCCTTCCTAGCCTAGTCAGCCCCGCCTTCCTAGCCTAGTCAGCCCCGCCTTCCTGGCCTAGTCAGCCCCGCCTTCCTAGCCTAGTCAGCCCCGCCTTCCTAGCCTAGTCAGCCCCGCCTTCCTAGCCTAGTTCAACTCAACCCTTCTCAGCCTAGGAGTACTAACATTTCTCCACCAAACTCTGAGTCTATAATACTCTCTATCACCTGCTAACTAAACAAGTCACAACCAAAAGAACCAACAACCCTTGGCTCACTAAAGGGTTATTCGAGTAAATAAGAAACATGAATATAAGAAGAAATTACAGGTTAGGAGCCATTTCTAGAGATTCGTCTAAGAGGTAATCCTCAATGCTTAAAAAAAAAAGAAAAAAAATTCTTTCTAAGTTAATAAAAAACACCAGGCCAAGCTTCTATGAAAATGTATTTAATCAAATACAGGGAGACATACAACAGCAAAACGAAAAAAAACATGGAACATCATTTTCCAGACCTCAGGGTCAAATAAGAACTTAGGTAAACAACGAAATTCCTCGCTGGAAATGATGGAATGTGATCTGCAGTTGACACAGCTACTAAATTCAATAATTTAGTTAACAAGAAAGTTAATACTGACGTTCCACAAAGTTAACACTGACGTTCCACAAAGTTAACACTGACGTTCCACAAAGTTAACACTGACGTTCCACAAAGTTAACACTGACGTTCCACAAAGTTAACACTGACGTTCCACAAAGTTAACACTGACGTTCCACAAAGTTCCACGTTCCACAAAGTTAACACTGACGTTCCACAAGTTAACACTGACGTTCCACAAAGTTAACACTGACGTTCCACAAAGTTAACACTGACGTTCCACAAAGTTAACACTGACGTTCCACAAAGTTAACACTGACGTTCCACAAGTTAACACTGACGTTCCACAAGGTTAACACTGACGTTCCACAAAGTTAACACTGACGTTCCACAAAGTTAACACTGACGTTCCACAAGGGTAACACTGACGTTCCACAAAGTTAACACTGACGTTCCACAAAGTTAACACTGACGTTCCACAAAGTTAACACTGACGTTCCACAAAGTTAACACTGACGTTCCACAAAGTTAACACTGACGTTCCACAAAGTTAACACTGACGTTCCACAAAGTTAACACTGACGTTCCACAACACTGACGTTCCACAAGGGTAACACTGACGTTCCACAAAGTTAACACTGACGTTCCACAAAGTTAACACTGACGTTCCACAAAGTTAACACTGACGTTCCACAAAGTTAACACTGACGTTCCACAAGGGTAACACTGACGTTCCACAAAGTTAATACTGACGTTCCACAAAGTTAGCACTGACGTTCCACAAAGTTAACACTGACGTTCCACAAGGCTAACACTGACGTTCCACAAAGTTAACACTGACGTTCCACAAAGTTAACACTGACGTTCCACAAAGTTAACACTGACGTTCCACAAAGTTAACACTGACGTTCCACAAAGTTAACACTGACGTTCCACAAAGTTAACACTGACGTTCCACAAAGTAGCAGTATTATTGGTCCACTCCACTTTCTCACATACATCCATGACCTTCCTAATACCACTCGACGCTTGAAGTTAGTCCTACTGGTTGAGGACACCACTTTTATAATGCTAACCCAGTAATTCTAATGACGTAATACTGAACTAAACAAACCAAAAGTCCATCAATGACTGAATGCTTAAACATTTACTCTCAACATTGACAAAACATTGTGTTTATTTCTTGACAAGTCCACCGATGAAATTAACCTAAGAATTAACAATTCCCAATTAATGTTTAGAGTAGACTAAATTCCCTGGAGTTTACATTGACAGTAAACTGAACATTTCCTTTACTATATACAAAATATAATAATAATAACAAGTTTCTAAAACTATATGTCTTCTCTCCAAGACTAGAAAGTACGTAGCTCACCTTGTCTTGGTAACTTATTCTCTTATCTATCCATATCTCATCTACGGTATCTCTGCCTGGGGGAGAGCAACAACCCAAAATGACCTTCGACCTCTAATTACCCAACATACATCAGCGATTAGAGCAATAACAAACTCTAACCCCAGACTGCACTCACCTTCCTTATGGAAATCCTTGAGTGTGTACCAAGTCGCTGGATATCCCCTTAAGTGTGCTCTACACTTATAAAACTCTGCACTGTAATACCAACTCTGCCCTTAAGCGCTTCCTAGAGGGCTGTAACGGAACCCATGGGCATCACACCAGAAATATATTTTTGAGTGCGAGTTAAGCAAAAGCAGAAACACTCTACAAACTTTGCACCAATCATCAAACCAATGTATACAATTCCGTTATATCTTCCATCCTATCTAGCTTCCCCTTCCCCCCCCAACATAGCTCCTTTCACCCCCAATCAACAAACTCAGCCATCAATCTCTACCAAGTTTGTCCATCCCCCGCCCTCCCCCACACACCCACACGGGGCCAGAGACGCGGGAGGATGGAGCAATTTAGTAGTCGCGTTGGAGTCAGTGTGTAGTGGCCCCGGGCTCCTCCTCTCTCCTGTGTGTTGCCCTCCGGCTGGTCCGCACTCCACACTCGTACTCTTTCACGGTGATTACTCGTCATCACTCACACTACGGCGGTGTTCACTCACACTGCGGCGGTAAAAGAGGCACATTAAACGTGAGGTCATTTAACAGAACGATGGTGAACGGTATTAAACAGTAACGTCGTTTACTAGTAAAAGTCTAATTTTTGACGGTTAGCGACGGTGACAACCGACTTAACGAACGTTTAAAAAGCGAATGATGTGTAATTAGCCGAGGACAGTTTAGTACAACGGCGGCCGTTAATGTCAACAAACAGGGAACATCGGCAAACAGGGAACGCCGATCGAAAAAAACACATCAACATACACAACCGAAAAAGGAAACAGAGAACGTTGATGAAAGAGTAACAACAGACAGGATAAACAGGATCAAACAGGAACGGAGACGCCCAGAGAGCATAAGGTAACATAAAGACGTAGTGTATATAGTGAACGGCAAGAATTACGTTCAGTACCGAGCAGTTACTCGTCAACACCTCCACATTACCTTCCCAGTACTTTACTTACATTAACCTAGTTACACTTCCAGCACCAGTGAACGGCCGGTGAACAGTGAAACTCAGTGAACACGAAGCAACGAGTAACTGTGAACGATGAACAGTGTATGAGTTTAATAGACTCAGGAAAAAGACTTAATGAGATTGAGGAGCAACAGTAAACAGAGCAACAGAAGTGCAGGACGGAGCGCTGAACCAGACAACAGTAGGGCCCATATCAACCCACCCAGGTAGCTATGGGGAATAATTTTTTATGTAATATATATATATATATATATATATATATATATATATATATATATATATATATATATATATATATATATATATATGTATATATATAATGTCCAGCTGGAACTACCTACTAGTGGAAAAAATAGCTGATGCCATGTTCAGCGCCGCAACATCAGACAATGAGAAAGCCCGCCTCAGAGCAGTGCGTGCCCCCCATGCAGGAGACTTCCTCCTGGCAGTACCCATGTCGGCAATGGCCACACGCTTAGATCCAGAATCCCTTCGTGTAGCAGCGGCACTCCGCCTTGGTGCCCCAATTCACTCTGCATACAAGTGTATTTGCAACAGGGTGGAAGCAGACCAATATGGATTGCATGTGTCGCACTGCGGAAAATCCAAGGGCTGGCATGCAAGACACAACGAGGTCAATGACATCTTCAAGAGGAACCTTGCCTCAGCTCAGTGCCCAGCGGAGAGAGAACCTCGCATCCTAGGGGCCCACCATCCCGGATGACCCCGCACGTCGCCCAGATGGCATCACCATATACTCCTGGAAAAGGGGCAGACAGTTGGTGTGGGACTACACATATTTATCGACCCTGGCTGACACCTATATACACTTAGGTGCTGATCAAGCAGGCAGGGCGGCCAACCACAGGGAAACAGCAAAATCAGTCAAATATAGGTCAATACACCTTTGTTCCCATAGCGTCTGAGACACATGCCCCCTGGGGTAGGAGTGCCTTGAAATTTCTCATGGAATTGGGCTCCAGGCTCATTGACGTCACCAGAGACCCAAGGGCTGCCAGTTTTTTGTTTCCAGTCTTTGTGTTGATCCAAAGGGTCAACGCCTGCTGCATCCTCGGTTCCCGCCCTGACGCGGAGAAGCTCCAACAGATCCATAACCTTTAAGAACTCATTGTATCAACCAATGTACATCTTGTAACCCTTAAATATGTAATAAGACACAAAAAATACAAAGGGAAGGGGGTGGTAGGAGAAAACCACACAGAAACTGTATACGAGGGGACCTAAACATTCCCCTCCAATACAGTTGAAGTAATTACACACCACACAGAAACTGTATACGAGGGGACCTAAACATTCCCCTCCAATACAGTTGAAGTAATTACACAGCTCAAAGTACATCATATCATTTGGTGTGAAGTCACTTATAACAGGGCAATCACAGATATAGTGTTGGAGAGTAATGTCCCAGCTCTTGTTCACATAGTGTACAGTGGGAATGTTCACCATTGGAGGGATACATTACCTGCAGCCACCTGCCATACATATCCATATCCCAGCCTAAGTCTGGCAATTACAATGTCACACTGTCTAGTGGAGGTGTTATGCTGCCCGTACATATAATTCTCGGTTTTAAACATGGCATAGCTCTTTATACTCGTGCTTTCTGGCCTTTGTGTGTCAGTGACTGCTCTTCTGTCTTCCCTAATTTCCTGAAATATTGCGGCTTTTACAGCAGAGATCGGAATGCCCATATCCAACTGAATTTCAGGCTTATAGCATGCAGTTTTGGCTGCCTTGTGTGTCATCATTCTGGACAACACCTGTGTGAGATGGTAGCCATTCAAAAGAGAGTCTGAAACTCTTGGTCTGTGCATTAATAATGTTGTTTATAATGGATGTTACAACATTCCTAGTATCTATTGTGCATGTTGGGGTTTTAAGGGCCTGAAGAGCTGACTTTGAATCACAGAACATTACTCCTCCACTGTTCTTCAGTGCGTTAGTGGCCAGTTGTAGTGCAGCTAATCCTGCATGTGTGGAGGTAGGCCAGTTATTGAGCCTCAGACTTATGGTTTGTGCACCTCTGTTGCCTTTGTATATTCTACAGGCTGCTGCAGTGCCACCTGTTGACATTTGAACAGACCCGTCAGTGTAAGCATACTGCTCGTGAGCTGTAAATGTATGAAGGACTCAATGGTCTCAAATGTTGTTGCTTTGTTTATATATGAAGAATTCACAGCAGGCGCATCAGCCGTATAACTCAGAGGATTGGCACCGGTGCATCACCATGTTGTGTAGAAGGTGCCGCACTCACCCAGTCATACCACAGCCAGGACACCTGGGTTCCAGCCCAAAGGACTGATCCTTCCCTCTTCGCCCCTGTTCACCCAGCAGTAATTGGCGACCTGATTGTAAATCGACTGGGTGGTCGTGTTGTGGGGTGGGAGGTGAGGGAGAGAGCCTGTAAACAGGAGCATGAAAACGTTTGTTGCTATGACCTCTGTAGTGTTAAAACACGTTACCATCCCACTCCTACCACACCATGACCCCCACACAATGGCCCCACACCATGGCCCCTCACAGTGGCCCCCACACAGTGGCCCCCTGGAGGTTAGGCCCCCCCCCACAGTTGGGTATGGCTACGAATACGACACGTTTTTATACAAATGAAGCATGTAAACATGGCCCCAGATTCGTAATGTTTATTGGTTACCCGGGATTCGTAGTTAATTGTGTTCTGATGGAGGGGAATTCGTCATGGACAATGTAAAGTGTTTGGCCGTCGTATTTATTATTTTTTTCGGTGGAATCGAGGACATACAGATAGGTGTTTGTGGTATGACCTTAATGTTATCATCATGTCTTGCGTGAGCATGTGTCAGTTTTTTGGGGGGTTGAGTCTACCATTATCGTTTCACGTGGTGGATGGAACAGTTTGGTAGACACTGTTCCACCTTCACAGAGTATGCGATCCCAGCATTACCTTGTCAAGCACAAGACGAAGCTGGAAAAAGTTCAGAGGTATGCCACTAGGTTAGTCCCAGAACTAAGAGGCATGAGTTACGAGGAAACGCTGTGTGAACTGCACCTCACGTCGCTGGAAGACAGAAGAGCTCGGGGAGACAGGGTCGCAACATATAAAATTCTCAGGGGAATTGATAGGGTAGGTAAGGGTGGACTATTTAACACGGGTGGTACACGAAGAAGGGGACACAGGTGGAAGCTGAGTACCCAAATGACCCACAGAGACATTAGAAAGAACTTTTTTAGTGTCAGAGTAGTTAGTAAATGGAACGCATTAGGAAGTGATGTGGTGGAGGCTGACTCAAACAGTTCTTATTGTAGATATGATAGAGCCCAGTAGGCTCAGGAATCTGTACGCCAGTTGATTGACAGTTGAGAGGCGGGACCAAAGAGCCAAAGCTCAACCCCCACAAGCACAACTATGTGAGTACAGCCTAACAGCCTCCTCCCGTTCCTGAAGACATCATTTGTACAACAGCGTACATTCTTAGTCAGTTATTTTGGGTGTAACAGAATCCACACGATTTAGAGATAAGATTTTTTTGCCTACTGAATGCAAATCAATTTCCCACGAGGTTGGGCTTTAGTTGCTGGTCCCACCTCTAGTCCCACACGTCCGTTTCGTAACCATTCATCCTATGATTACGAAATGCAAAACTGATACACGATAGACGGAGCCTAGGGACAGGACCTATAGTTCTTGGACCTGCCTCTAGATGCAGGTCTTGATTCTTCATTTTTTTTCCATTACGTGTGTAGCAAGTACATTATGTCAGTAATATACTTGCTCCATATTCTCATTAGCTTATGTGCAGATAATGAGATGGGGCCAGATTCACGAAACCACTCACGAACGTGTACATCTTTCATCAATCTTTGACGGCTTTGTTTACATTTATTAAACAATTTACAAGCATGAAAACTTCCTATTCAACTGTTGTTATTGTTATAAACAGCCTCCTGGTGCTTCGGAGCTCATTAACTGTTTAATAATTGGAAACAAAGCCGCCAAAGATTGAGAAAAGATGTACAGGTTCGTAAGTATTTGCGTAAGTGCTTTCGTGAATCTGGTCCATGGTCTGTTGATTCTCTTGGTCGTAATCACACGTCACTCAGCTCCCGCGAAATTTAAAACTGTTATACTTATGTCAGAGCCTAGGAATAGGACCTGGCTCTTGGATGGACCTCTTCCATTAAACGCTGTTTTCACTATATCGTTTCTTAGTTCACTGCTCATTTTCCTCGAAATTGAAAATGGATACATTTGGGTTAGTTAGCTCAGGAGTATTTCAGTGTTGTCTTCGGGTGAAAGCAAGAGATGGATTTTTGCAATAGGTGCAAAAGGCTTGTACCTTTCACCTTGAGGTACTGTACTTTAGCTACAGTACCGACTGTACTGTACCGACTGTACTGTACCGACTGTACTGTACCGACTGTACTGTACCGACTGTACTGTACCGACTGTACTGTACCGACTGTACTGTACCGACTGTACTGTACCGACTGTACTGTACCGACTGTACTGTACCGACTGTACTGTACCGACTGTACTGTACCGACTGTACAGTACCGACTGTACTGTACCGACTGTACTGTACCGACTGTACTGTACCGACTGTACTGTACCGACTGTACTGTACCGACTGTACTGTACCGACTGTACAGTACCGACTGTACTGTACCGACTGTACTGTACCGACTGTACTGTACCGACTGTACTGTACCGACTGTACTGTACCGACTGTACTGTACCGACTGTACTGTACCGACTGTACTTCGCTGACGACTTGTGTTCGAACCACAACGCTGTAAATGCTTCACCCACGTACTACAAATACAAATAATCGCCAACAGAACCTAAACACCTAACCTAACCTATGCCTAAATATTCACAATATGCTAATATATAATAATATTAACTTATATTTGAGAAAATTTTTGTCTTGAGTAAACAGCATGTTAAAATTTACGAATGCGTCTTTGGGGTCGACCGCTGGATGGAATGGTCTTGGTGTGAGGACGAGTTGCTGCCTGCTCCAGGCCTCGTCTCACCTACCACCACATGTCATTACATTTCCCATCCGACTGTTGTAACCAAAACTATATTAAACCAACATCAAAAACCACAACACTCTTTAAATATCGTCACCCAAAACGGTTAACCTTATAGCTTGAGCTAGATCCTTATATAAGCCCAGCTGCCACAGATACTTGTAGCAACAATACTGTTGTATTCGAGCTGTGACTATGTTCAGTGTAGCAACAATACTGTTGTATTCGAGCTGTGACTATGTTCAGTGTAGCAACAATACTGTTGTATTCGAGCTGTGACTGTTCAGTGTAGCAACAATACTGTTGTATTCGAGCTGTGACTATGTTCAGTGTAGCAACAGTAATGTTGTATTCGAGCTGTGACTATGTTCAGTGTAGCAACAATACTGTTGTATTCGAGCTGTGACTATGTTCAGTGTAGCAACAGTAATGATGTATTCGAGCTGTGACTATGTTCAGTGTAGCAACAATACTGTTGTATTCGAGCTGTGACTATGTTCAGTGTAGCAACAGTAATGATGTATTCGAGCTGTGACTATGTTCAGTGTAGCAACAATACTGTTGTATTCGAGCTGTGACTATGTTCAGTGTAGCAACAGTAATGTTGTATTCGAGCTGTGACTATGTTCAGTGTAGCAACAGTAATGATGTATTCGAGCTGTGACTATGTTCAGTGTAGCAACAGTAATGTTGTATTCGAGCTGTGACTATGTTCAGTGTAGCAACAGTAATGATGTATTCGAGCTGTGACTATGTTCAGTGTAGCAACAGTAATGTTGTATTCGAGCTGTGACTATGTTCAGTGTAGCAACAGTAATGTTGTATTCGAGCTGTGACTATGTTCAGTGTAGCAACAATACTGTTGTATTCGAGCTGTGACTATGTTCAGTGTAGCAACAGTAATGATGTATTCGAGCTGTGACTATGTTCAGTGTAGCAACAATACTGTTGTATTCGAGCTGTGACTATGTTCGTAGTCATAGTCATGACATAGTCTGTGACTATGACTATCTACGAGGGGGCCTCGTAGCCTGGTGGATAGCGCGCAGGATTCGTAATTCTGTGGCGCGGGTTCGATTCCCGCACGAGGCAGAAGCAAATGGGCAAAGTTTCTTTCACCCTGAATGCCCCTGTTACCTAGCAGTAAATAGGTACCTGGGAGTTAGTCAGCTGTCACGGGCTGCTTCCTGGGGGTGGAGGCCTGGTCGACGACCGGGCCGCGGGGACACTAAAGCCCCGAAATCATCTCAAGATAACCTCAAGATGTTCAGTGTAGCGACAATACTGTTGTATTCGAGCTGTGACTATGTTCAGTGTAGCAACAATACTGTTGTATTCGAGCTGTGACTATGTTCAGTGTAGCAACAATACTGTTGTATTCGAGCTGTGACTGTTCAGTTAGCTCAACTTATCTCTAAACTCTAGCATTTTTCCTGAACCTCTTATGTACTTGGCTAACTCCACCCCCAGGATGTGTTTGGCGTACATAATGAATTCAAAGTATAAAGTGATTGTAATTTCCCAAATTAATTGTGTAATTGTGTGTAATTAATCTCAGTGTAGTCTTTAGACGCAATAAGATCACAGTTTTAATATTTTATATAGAGATCCCGAGTGTAAGACGGCTGACTTCTGCAGGCTGCGGCGGTGCTGTGGCGGACGGGCGGCGGTGCTGTGGCGGACGGGCGGCGGTGCTGAGGCGGACGGGCGGCGGTGCTGTGGCGGACGGGCGGCGGTGCTGAGGCGGACGGGCGGCGGTGCTGAGGCGGACGGGCTGCGGTGCTGAGGATGACGATGGCGGCGGAGAAGAGCAACCTGCTGAGCTCCATCCCCCGGGTGAAGCTGTGGGTGGTGCTGGTGCTGACGCTGGTGTTCACGGTGGTGCTGCTCGGCGCCTCCCACCTCACACACTCCCTCACCCTCAGGGTGGAGGCCTACCACACCCTCTACAACCTGCTCTCTCTCATTGGCTGCCTTCTCACCATGAAGGTCAGCATGGGGGGGGGGAGGGCTAGGGTGCTGATGGAGGTGGTAGCCATGGAAGAAATATGGGTGATAATAGTGGGTAGACAGGGAGGCCTAAATGTAAGTTTTGTAACCACGTCCAATGTTGTGCATCATCCCACAGATTGATTGATTGGTGGAGATTAAGCCACCCAAGAGGTGGCACGGGCATGAATATCCCGTAAGTGGTAGGTGTTTGGAGTGAATGTGATAGTTGGTGGCAGAGTAATCTGAGCCACGTGTACAGATATGGGAGTTGACCCGAGTGTGTGTGATCTCTGGTCATAAGGCCTTTAAGCTTAATTCGTTTTGGCCGGGATATTGCTGGCCGGAGCCTAGGCCTCTGGCTGGCCCACAGTGTAGCCAGATGGTGGGCGTGCACCGCTCAAGGCAATATATATGCAATGGTGGCAGCGGCGGACCAGGTGTGTGTGGTCCAAGATGGTTAGTTTAGTTCATTTATTATGCACCCCATACCCATCTTGTGGGCGGTAGTGGAAAGGGTTGGGAACATGACTTTCCTTACAGATTGATTGATTGATAAAGATTAAGCCACCCAAGAGGTGGCACGGGCATGAATAGCCCGTAAGTGGTGGCCCTTTCGAGCCATTACCAGTATCAAAAGATGATACTGGAGATCTGTGGAGGCGCAACTGCACCCTGCGTGACGGGAGATGTCTCCCGGACCAAGTGGTGACCAAATGGACCTTTCCTTACAAGATTAGAATGTTATATATACCTTTTAATATATACAAGAGTTCTTACAATCTTGTACAGCCACTAGCACGGGTAGCGTTCCGGACAGGTCCTTAATCCTATGTTCCCCGGAATACGACCCGCCAAATCGTTCAACAACCAGGTCATTATAACCAGGTTATAATGACCAAACCACACATCAGAAAGTGAAAAAACGACAACGTTTCGGTCCGTCGTGAACCATTATCACGCCGTGTAAAAAGATAAACGACGACGGACCGAAAAGTTGTCATTTCTTCACATTGTGTTGTGTGGTGTGGTCACCATACTTCAGCCACGTTATTGTGACTCCTCGTCTGCACTTAAAATGGTGTATACACTATACTTGTTATTATATATTATGTTACATACATTATGTTTCAGCCTCATAGCCCCTGTGTCATTCCCATAGCTCCTGTGTCATTCCCATAGCTCCTGTGTCATTCCCATAGCTCCTGTGTCATTCCCATAGCTCCTGTGTCATTCCCATAGCTCCTGTGCCATTCCCATAGCTCCTGTGTCATTCCCATACCCCCTGTGCCGTTCCCATAGCTCCTGTGCCATTCCCATAGCTCCTGTGCCATTCCCATAGCTCCTGTGCCATTCCCATAGCTCCTGTGCCATTCCCATAGCTCCTGTGTCATTCCCATAGCTCCTGTGTCATTCCCATAGCTCCTGTGCCATTCCCATAGCTCCTGTGCCATTCCCATAGCTCCTGTGCCATTCCCATAGCTCCTGTGTCATTCCCATAGCTCCTGTGCCATTCCCATAGCTCCTGTGTCATTCCCATAGCTCCTGTGTCATTCCCATAGCTCCTGTGTCATTCCCATAGCTCCTGTGTCATTCCCATAGCTCCTGTGCCATTCCCATAGCTCCTGTGCCATTCCCATACCCCCTGTGCCGTTCCCATAGCCCCTACATCATCCCTATAGCCCCTGTACCATCCCCATTGCCCCTGAGAAATGTCCATAACCAGGTTCTCGACAGCTGTGCTCTGGGCCGCAGTCTCTGCACAACACATTCGGGTGGGCGCGGCTGGAGGTGCTCTCCATGCTGACCACTCAGCTCTTCCTCACCGCCCTCTGCTTCAGCGCCGCCATCGACTCCGTCCAGACGGCCGTGCACGTCGGCCACCAGGTGATCACCGCACTCTGTGTTTACGGAACCTGTCCTTCCAGATCACGCCGCTGGCGAGACAGGAAGCACGCGGCTTGTCAAGCGTCCATTCATTCCACCTGAAGAGTGTTTCTAGTTGAATTTTAAACTGCAATTATTAACTTTGAGAGCTTCGGCAGACTGTTGCGTAAAGTTGCTAGTCATTTGGGAGAAGGGGAACTGAGACATGTCCATCCTGGCAGGACGCGATGCACCATCCACTGAAGGTGATGGCGCTGGGAGCTGTGGGCGGCGGCCTCAACGCCCTCGTCTTCTGTCTTATTGGAGGTCAGCAACCCATTATGTTTATGTCTTAACAGTAAATAAGATGGAGTTTTCGGAGCACCTAAATTATTATGTAAATGATGTGTTTGGGTATGTGAAGGTGACGTATGATGGAGTGATGTGGAGAGTGGGTATGTGGGCCTCCCTGGTGGGGCAGCTTGGGCACCATTGTTTACCTGGAGAACAAATCCACAAGGGCCGTGACGAGGATTCGAACCTGCGTCCGGGAGCATCCCAGACACTGCGTTAATCGACTGAGCTACGACAGGGTTAAAAAGAGTTGAAACCGAAGTTCTACTGAACTTACTGGATCCCGTAGCCTCTCCGAGGCACAAACCAGGATTTTACACAACTCCCCCCTGCACCCGAGCTATGTCAATAGGCAGTTCTCCCTCTTCGCCCCTACATCATTACACACAAAGATCACACTAACGTGATGCATCAAATGAACAAATCCAGGCAGATTAAGGCAGTGTCTGGGATGCTCTCGGACGCAGGTTCGAATCCTCGTCACGGCCATTGTGGATTTGTTCATTTGATGCATCACGTTAGTGTGATCTCTGTGTGTTTACCTGGAGCTCCAGGTACTGGGCATCTGGGCACGGTGTTGGGCACCACATGTAGAAACAGGTATTGCATCAGTCAACTCTCGAGGAAAATCCATCGGTACAAAGGTTGAGTCTTCATCTTGCAGCCATCCTGTTGTCCCGGCCTAACAGGAAGCCGGTCGGCCGAGCGAACAACACGCTGGACTTGTGATCCTGTGGTCCTGGGTTCGATCCCGGGCGCCGGCGAGAAACAATGGGCAGAGTTTCTTTCACCCTATGCCCCTGTTACCTAGCAGTAAAATAGGTACCTGGGTGTTAGTCAGCTGTCACGGGCTGCTTCCTGGGGGTGGAGGCCTGGTCGAGGACCGGGCCGCGGGGACACTAAACCCCCGAAATCATCTCAAAATAACCTCAAGATAGTTAGTACTTATAGTAGCGACGAGGGCCATGGTACATGTATGACGTCACAGACAATTAGAAAGTAGAAATCGTTACTATTTCATTTGGACAAAACGGAAACGTTTGTGTATTTAAGTTGCCTAGACAACCTAAACTAACCTAACCTTCCTAGGCCTAAAACCCGCTGAGGCCTAATATAGTCCATATATGTGCTATATTACGCCTAGGAATAATTAAGTTTGTTTTTTAGCTTCATTTTTTCGGACTTTATAAAGTGAATATTACCAATTTCTACTATCTAGCTGCTTAGTACGTCAATGGTTGTACTATGGTCGACATAGTTACAAAACATACTATCTAAACAGAAGGACGGGTTGCTAAGATAATGACACCATAGGTATTAACCATTTATAAGTGTGTTCCTGTTAGCTTAATGTCTGTCATCGCGCTGTATGTGATCTGTCAATGATGACGGGCCCAGCACCGCTATCACCAGCTCCTGCTATCTCCACGCCCCCTCACCCCTCACTGATAACATTACCAAACGAATCCTAATGTTATCTCATGTGATTGATAATGTTGTCTCCATGACAATCACTAAATATTCTGACATTTGCTTCCCTCTTTAAGGGGCCTTTAAGGGGCCTCGTAGCCTGGTGGATAGAGCGCAGGACTCGTAATTCTGTGGCGCGGGTTCGATTCCCGCACGAGGCAGAAACAAATGGGCAAAAGTTTCTTTCACCCTGAATGCCCCTGTTACCTAGCAGTAAATAGATACCTGGGAGTTAGTCAGCTGTCACTGGCTGCTTCCTGGGGGTGGACGCCTGGTCGAGGACCGGGCCGCGGGGACACTAAAGCCCCGAAATCATCTCAAGATAACCTCAAGATAACCTCTCCACGACGATCTCACTAGTCAATAGACTTACACTTATGTTTTGCTTTCCATTTTTCCAATAATAGAAATTGTTGACGAAAAAAATATATATTCCAACAATTTGTATGTATAATATATAATTTTTGGCCGTATATATTTAATACGAAACGGTCGTTGCTTTATGGCTTTCTGGTTCTTTGTTAATTAGAGTCTAACACAGTAGTGGTGGTGACTGATGGACTGGTTCATACAGTCTAACACACTAGTGGGTGGTGACTGATGGACTGGTTCACACAGTCTAACACAGTAGTGGGTGGTGACTGATGGACTGGTTCACACAGTCTAACACAGTAGTGGGTGGTGACTGATGGACTGGTTCACACAGTCTAACACACTAGTGGGTGGTGACTGATGGACTGCTCCACACAGTCTAACACAGTAGTGGGTGGTGACTGATGGACTGGTTCACACAGTCTAACACACTAGTGGGTGGTGACTGATGGACTGGTTCACACAGTCTAACACACTAGTGGGTGGTGACTGATGGACTGCTCCACACAGTCTAACACACCAGTGGGTGGTGACTGATGGACTGGTTCACACAATCTGTTCTTTGGTGCAGATCTTTTATGAATAAAAGTTTCAGTGGTAGGTCAGGCCCTTTGCAATTTTGGATAGACACACTTGGGGCTTCAGATTCCCTAAATTTTTAAATGAGCTTCCTGATTGTTTCCTTGCGATAATTTCAGGACTTAATGTCCCCGCGGTCCTGTCCCTGTGGGATCTACACCTGGAAATGCATAATTCAAAATCACCTTATAGACATCTAATTAATCACTATAAGTCTAATATTTGAACGAAAATGAACTCTAATTCCAGACAGCATTCAGCACCCATATTTTAGCCCTGGAACTCGCTCTATAAAAACCAGAATCCATCTATTTGATATCCCCAGAATACGACGCTAGCAAAGGAGAAATATCTTGCAAATAAAGCAGTCCATCCTCGCAAAATGTCATCCCACAAAATCTACGTTTTCTATTAATGATTTACCTCAATGGTATGCTTTTAAATCGGAAATGTAACAATAGAACTTAAGGTAATCTATCCAAGTAATCCTAGGCCTAATACACGTCATCTTAGGCCTTAAGTAGTACATATATATGGTTTTCTAGGCCTAGGAATATTCAAGATCAGGTTTAGCTTTTTTTCTCTGACTTCTTCGGGTCGAGCAGTAGATGCGGGGTAAACTCGACCACATACAACCCGTCCTCGCACTTGCTTACAGTCAATATTGACTGATTTAATAAGTGCATATGTGACATACTAATTGATTGTGAATATTTTAGTTTACCTTGAAAAGCTGCATAGAAAACACCGACCTCACTTAACCTTCTTAGTATGTTAAGATAAGCATCTTATTTCTTCTTATTTACAATTATTACTTAACCTATCAACGGTATAGGTTAAGTAATAAATGTAATTAAGAAGCAATAAGATGCTTATCTTAACATAATAAGAAGGTTAGGTGAGGTCGGTGTTTTCTATGCAGCTTTTCAAGGTAAACTAAAATATTCACAATCAATTAGTATGTCACCTATGCACTTATTAAATAAGCCAATATTGACTATAAGCAAGTGCGAGAACGGGTTGCCACATAATATAAGGAGGAAGGCACTACGGGCTCACCATACCCCGTGCTACTTGGAACATCTCTAACCTCTCTAATCTCTAACATCTCTAATCTCTAACAACAACAACATATAAGGAAAATGGGTTGAAATAAAGGATAAAATATTGCAGTAAAATGTTGTGCTTCGCTAAACCAATGTAAAACAAAACACATATATATCTAATATACATTATGTAGCATAATCCTCACACATTTCGTTATCTTTAAGCCAATTTGTATTTGGTGTTATTGTGCATATTAAACACTGTAATCTGTTTTCTTTGTAGTTACTGTATCTCTAAGGCTACAGAATCTAAAATAAAGTAGTCTATACATGTCATAAGATTCAAAAGTTCACATTTAATCACAAACTGCATTTGTCATTTGCTAAACTTTTGTTAATCATTCATATATGTTAGCTTATTGTATAAGAGGGTAGAAATAACCTAAGCTACTCTATCCCTTTGAGATGTATTTTATGGTCATAATAAACGAACTTGAATACTATTACTCCCCAAAAATATTAATCTCAATTCACTATCTTATGGGCGAAGCGCGCGTGTATTTAGTACCTTTGTTCAATATATAAATCTTGTACATACAAATCAATGTAACCTGATCTTTTATCTTAATAATTATAATTTATTTAATTATTATTGAGAAACTTACTACAATACCGTAGTGCTTAACATGAAGATAATGAAAGACCCAACTTAAGTGTATTAAAAACCAAATTTTCGAATATAACCTAAATAATTTATCAGGGTGCAGTATATATTTATTACAGCATCTCGATAAAAGCATGTAGCATTCCATCCATGTAGGATATAGCCTAACCTACGTATATGTAGTAGCCTAACCTACATGTATGTAGTAGCCTAACCTACATATATGTAGTAGCCTAACCTACACATATGTAGTAGCCTAACCTACATATATGTAGTAGCCTAACCTACATATATATAGTAGCCTAACCTACATATATGCAGTAGCCTAACCTACATATATGTAGTAGCCTAACCTACAATATATGTAGTAGCCTAACCTACATATATGTAGTAGCCTAACCTACATATATGTAGTAGCCTAACCTACAATATATGTAGTAGCCTAACCTACATATATGTAGTAGCCTAACCTACAATATATGTAGTAGCCTAACCTACATATATGTAGTAGCCTAACCTACATATATGTAGTAGCCTAACCTACATATATGTAGTCGCCTAACCTACATAAGCAGGCTATATCCGAAAATTTAGTTTATAATACACGTAAATCATAAATTTAGCTTTTCATTCACATGCATCATAAATATTATCGGGCTCGTAGTGACCGTAGTGGCTTCCCGACAGGCTACACCCACCACCAAGGCTGCTTCCTGGAGATGCGGGACTCAGGGAGCGTGTGGGTGGGGCGGCAGGTGACGCAGGAGGCGGTGCAGGCCGGCCGCCGGATGCTCTCTTCCAGCAACCTGCGGGCCGGATCGTCCAGGCCTATTAGCAGGATCCGGCAGGTCATCAATGAGGTCCTCAGAGACAACTGTGGTATGGAATGATCCTCTTGGTGTTTACATTTACACTACTGATCTCTATATTTACATGTGCACTACTTATTCCATATTTACATGTGCACTTTATTTACACATCAGTTTGGCAGAAATCAAATACTGCATGGTTTACTTCAGTTAATGGGTGAAAATACTGCATGGTTTATATATAATTGCATATATAATTGTATGGATAAAATCCAAATGTTGTCCTTGGAGGTCTGGTGATGGTGGAGGTGTGCGCTGCTGTCGTGTACTGGGACGACGGAGGCACGGTAGCCCTCTATATAGACCCAGCCTTGGCCGTCACCTCCGCCGCCCTTCTCATGTGGTTTAGTTACCCATATGGTAAGACGTTTTCTGTAGTACATTGTTCAAATTCGTCCTGTTTTTTTCAGTCCAGCCTCTAAAAGTATTGAAATTTACTCGATCTTCATAAAAATTCCTCAATCTTTGACAGCTCTGGTTGCATTTATTAAACAGTTTACAAGCATGAAAACTTGCCAATTAAATGTTGTTATTGTTATTAACAGCCTCCTGGTGCTTCCGAGCTCATTAACTGTTTAGTTAATAATTGTAAACAAAGCCGCCAAAGATTGAGAAAAGATGTACAGGTTCGTAAGTGCTTGCGTAACTGCTTCGTGAATCTGGCCCCTGAAGAGAAGCCGCCAGTAGCTAGGCCTACATAAACATCAATAATATCTCCACTCCTCATCTCTTATTAACCACAGGACAATATTAACGTGATTTGTCTTTTTGTTAACAGCTTTAATGGCTTTAAATTCTGACTAATTATACCTAGCAATCACATAAATTATACCACTAGTCTCCCCTCGAAGAATTAATAGATAAGTAACTAGTTCAAACACATATGAACCTGTAATTGAAGCTTCAGGAGGCTGACAAAAGATAAACTCATCCTTAAAATGTGCTACATAGCCTTCCCGGCTTGGTGCCTTCTGTGATAATTACTTACTACTCATCCTTAAAATTATCATCTGTGTTTCTCGTGACTGCCAGTAACTCATCACGATTAGTTACGTCTGTAGAGTCATCCAAACGGAGAGTGAATATCCTTAAGGGCCAACAATGAGTTTGATTTCTATAGAGATGTCAGCTATACGTCGCTGGACATTGTGACCTGACTGACAGTGTCAGAGTTGTGCCTGGCTGTGATCCTTGAAGACGTTATCTTCTTGAGGTTATCTTGAGATGATTTCGGGGCTTTAGTGTCCCCGCGGCCCGGTCCTCGACCAGGCCTCCACCCCCAGGAAGCAGCCCGTAACAGCTGACTAACTCCCAGGTACCTATTTACTGCTAGGTAACAGGGGCATTCAGGGTGAAAGAAACTTTGCCCATTTGTTTCTGCCTCGTGCGGGAATCGAACCCGCGCCACAGAATTACGAGTCCTGCGCGCTATCCACCAGGCTACGAGGCCCCATTTAACGGCCTTGAACAAACCTGAGATTACGGCTAAGCTTTATAAATCTGTGTGTGTAGACGGTGAGTTACAATAACGTGGCTGAAGATATGTTGACCAGACCACACATCAGAAAGGGAAAAGACGACGTTTCGGTCCGTCCAGGACCATTATCAAGTGTGTTACACGATTTGATAATGGTCCAGGACGGACTGAAACGTCGTCGTTTCTTCACTTTATGATGCGGGGTTTGATCAACATAAATCTCTTGTGTACCTCCAGGGGTACCTGTACCCCACGGGTACCTGTACCCAAGGGGTACCTGTACCGCAGATTGAAATTCCCTGTTTAGGACGTTCAAGCTTTGTTTATGACAGCCATCCACGGTATGATTCGCCGCCCCTTCTCGTCTCAGGACATGTTGAAACCGTCAACATAACTTGCTCCTCTGCAATAGCAGCTACTGCAGCCTCGGGGACTGGACACCACCATCCCAGCTCCTCTGACACGCAGCTACTGCCAAAGGCTGGCCGAGTGAGCTGACCTATCCAGAGTTGTCTTCCTACAACACATACTCCCACATGTCCGCATATTGCTCAGGGTGTGACACCGGAGGCCCAGGTTAGGAGAGGAGACTGTATCCACGTTGCATGATGCAACACACTGGTCGGCAGCCATACTAGCAGACTCAACCATGGCCACGGCTGGCCAACCCCCTACCTCAGCTCTATTGAGAAACACAGAAATCACAGGGCAAGCTCAACCGCTGGTCCTCAACGCCACTACCATTGGTGATTTGGGGTCCATTGAGGCTTGTTACTGCCGGAATATAGGCCCAGTGGGGTCGGTTAATGGCCAGAAACTTCGTCATTCCAAGACTGCATTTTTCACTACCGTTGTCCCATTGACACAGAAGTTTCAATCTGACCTTCTCAGGTCGATCGTCTCCTCCCACCCGTCCTCGACTTAAGTCCATTACATCCAGCGGTCGACCCCACAGACACAGTCATAAATTTTTACATGCTGTTCATTCAAAACAGGAATTTTCTCAAATATAAATTAATATTATAATATATTAGCATATTGTGCATATATAGGCATAGGATAGGTTAGGTCAGGTGTTTAGGTTCTGTTGGCGATTATTTGTATTTGTAGTACGTGGGTGAAGCATTTACAGCGTTGTGGTTCGAACACAAGTCGTCAGTGAAGCACTTGTTCCGGAAGTGTTCGAACGTCAACAGTTGTGAGTCGTGTGTAAACCGTTTTTCCATTCATAAACAATGGGTTTGGCGGGAGCATGGAATGGACGTTTGGTCTATTTGGAGGACGGGTTGAACCAGGAACCAATCGTGTGTAAACCGTTTTTCATTTATAACAGAGGGTTTTACTTTTGAAGTAAAGTCCATTAGAACAAAGGTAAAGGCAATGAGTATTAAAGGCGAGGGTTGTGATGTTTAGGGCGGGAGTGTTGCCACATCTTGCTGCAGACCATCCCGGGCCACATCGACGTGGAGGCCTTCCAGGTGAGGATCCTGGAGCAGTTCCCAGCCGTGGTCAACATCCATCACCTCCACATCTGGACCTTCACCCCCACCAAGGTAAACAACCACATACACACTAGTATTACATTCATTTAAACCCTCAATATTTACTCATTAGACATAAACAATGACCCATATAACCCTTCCGCATAATTTATGATTCATTGTGTTGGTCACAGGTGTATATGCTCAGAATAATTCATCTTCCAAATGCTGTTTTAAAACGTTGACCAGACCACACACTAGAAGGTGAAGGGACGACGACGTTTCGGTCCGTCCTGGACCATTCTCAAGTATCAAGTCGATTCACAATCGACTTGAGAATGGTCCAGGACGGACCAAAACGTCGTCGTCCCTTCACCTTCTAGTGTGTGGTCTGGTCAACAAACTTTAGCCACGTTATTGTGGCTCATCGATCTCGTAAAACGTTTCCGCGCTCTGAATATTATAAATATCAACCGGTTTTGTGTATAATGTTTCTTGGGGTTTGTTGGGAGGTGTTGAGGACGCTGGCTGCCTCCTGACACTGCTCTTGTTCCTGCAGGTGGTGGCGACGGCCCACGTCGTCTTCAAGAACCCTCGCGTGTATCTCTCCGTCAAAGACATCCTCAGAGACTTCTTCGTCGACGAGGGCGTCACACAGGTGAGACCAGGTGTCACCTGTAACACGACGAGGGACGACGAGGTGTTACCTCGTCGTTACCTCGTAACCTCGTAACACACACAGCCTGTGTGTGTGTGTGTTGCAGGTGATGCTACAGCCAGTGTGTGTGTTACAGGTGACGCTACAGCCAGTGTGTGTGTTACAGGTGACGCTACAGCCAGTGTGTGTGTTACAGGTGACGCTACAGCCAGTGTGTGTGTTACAGGTGATGCTACAGCCAGTGTGTGTGTTACAGGTGACGCTACAGCCAGTGTATGTGTTACAGGTGATGCTACAGCCAGTGTGTGTGTAACAGGTGAAGCTACAGCCAGTGTGTGTGTTACAGGTGACGCTACAGCCAGTGTGTGTGTTACAGGTGACGCTACAGCCAGTGTGTGTGTTACAGGTGACGCTACAGCCAGTGTGTGTGTTACAGGTGAAGCTACAGCCAGTGTGTGTGTTACAGGTGACGCTACATCCAGTGTGTGTGTTACAGGTGAAGCTACAGCCAGTGTGTGTGTTACAGGTGAAGCTACAGCCAGTGTGTGTGTTACAGGTGAAGCTACAGCCTGTGTGTGTGTTACAGGTGATGCTACAGCCAATGTGTGTGTTACAGGTGACGCTACAGCCAGTGTGTGTTACAGGTGACGCTACAGCCAGTGTGTGTGTTACAGGTGACGCTACAGCCAGTGTGTGTGTTACAGGTGACGCTACAGCCAGTGTGTGTGTTACAGGTGAAGCTACAGCCAGTGTGTGTGTTGCAGGTGACGCTACAGCCAGTGTGTGTGTTACAGGTGAAGCTACATCCTGTGTGTGTGTTACAGGTGATGCTACAGCCAGTGTGTGTGTTACAGGTGATGCTACAGCCAGTGTGTGTGTTACAGGTGACGCTACAGCCAGTGTGTGTGTTACAGGTGACGCTACAGCCTGTGTGTGTGTTACAGGTGACGCTACAGCCTGTGTGTGTGTTACAGGTGACGCTACAGCCAGTGTGTGTTACAGGTGACGCTACAGCCAGTGTGTGTTACAGGTGACGCTACAGCCTGTGTGTGTGTTACAGGTGACGCTACAGCCAGTGTGTGTTACAGGTGACGCTACAGCCTGTGTGTGTGTTACAGGTGACGCTACAGCCGGAGTACATGACGAGGGAGCCCGGGGCGTCACCAGAGGACGGTGTGTGCCTCCTGCGTTGTGAGGACCAAGACTGCCACGAGAGGGAGTGTTGCCGCTCCTGCCCCCACCACCCACTCCTCCTGGGCGTCTCCACCCACGGTAGCTTCACCCACGGTAACCTCACCCACGGTAGCCTCACCCTCGGTAGCCTCACCCACGGTAGCCTCACCCACGGTAGCCTCACCCACGATAGCCTCACCCACGGTAGCCTCACCCACGGTAACCTCACCCACGGTAACCTCACCCACGGTAGCCTCACCCACGGTAGCCTCACCCACGGTAGCCTCACCCACGGTAGCCTCACCCACGATAGCCTCACCCACGGTAGCCTCACCCACGGTAGCCTCACCCACGATAGCCTCACCCACGGTAGCCTCACCCACGGTAACCTCACCCACGGTAACCTCACCCACGGTAACCTCACCCACGGTAACCTCACCCACGATAGCCTCACCCACGGTAACCTCACCCACGGTAACCTCACCCATGCACAAGACAGTTCAGCAACCCGTTCTCATAACAATAACGTCGTTTGTCCATATGGCCAAAAATAGACGTAATTTGAAATGAAATCGGCTCACGGAAGTGACGTACTGTCCCGTTTTCTGTTTGAGTGCTCTGGTATACTCGGTTAGGTTAGGAGAGGAAACTTTCAAGTAACGTTTTTCATGATGTTTTGAAACTTTAGGAGATCTTTATGCTCTCCTAACCTACCAGAGGAGAATTAACTTGCTGTGTTGGATAACTACATCCACCACCACTGTCAACACATCCACCACCACTGTCAACACATCCACCACCACTGTCAACACATCCACCACCACTGTCAACACATCCACCACCACTGTCAACACATCCACCACCACTGTCAACACATCCACCACCACTGTCAACACATCCACCACCACTGTCACCACATCCACCACCACTGTCAACACATCCACCACCACTGTCAACACATCCACCACCACTGTCAACACATCCACCACCACTGTCAACACATCCACCACCACTGTCATATTTATCAACATAACTTGCACTAAATTACTTGCATTACATTATTAATTACGCTACTGACAACCAATAATCATTTACGATGTTGTAAGGAACACATTTTAATTTAGTTTGGGACTTGAAAACTTTATTAAAATCTTAATTGATTAGGCTAAGTTCTGAAAGTAATTTATAGTATTGGTTTCAGGTGAAGTTTCCTCGCAGTCAAAAGACTCGCCTTGTGAGGCTGGGACGTGCGTGTGTGGATCACGGGACGGCGTGTGTGGATCACGGGATGGCGTGTGTGGATCAGGGAACGGCGTGTGTGGATCAGGGAACGGCGTGTGTGGATCAGGGAACGGCGTGTGTGGATCACGGGATGGCGTGTGTGGATCAGGGAACGGCGTGTGTGGATCAGGGAACGGCGTGTGTGGATCACGGGATGGCGTGTGTGGATCACGAGACGGCGTGTGTGGATCAGGGGACGGCGTGTGTGGATCACGGGACGCCAAGCAGGGGGCTGAGGATGCTGTGAACGAATCATGCAGAGGAGCGAGTGAGCCAGAAGATGGTAGACAGATCAAACATTCGTCAGACGACGGTCGGTGTCAGACCTACATCTTCCCCTGCTTGCCTGACAGCCCAGGCGACCAAGCGTCTGTCACGAAGCCTACTACTACTGACCAACACACCCAGGGCAGCCTAGTCAATGACGCTCCAAGTCAACACTCCAAGGAGCACCTAGCCACGGACGGTCCCACGCTGTGCCCCAAGAAACACCTAGCCAAGGACGGTCCCACGCTGTGCCCCAAGGAACACCTAGCCACGGACGGTCCCACGCTGTGCCCCAAGGAACACCTTCTTCCGCCAGAAGAAACATAGAGACTACTGTACACATTACCAGTCAGGACTTGTCGGCAGGTTACAATACACTTGACTGAACTCCACACCTGTCAGCACATTTATGTTAATGGTGAATTTATAATTTGCCGAACTCACATCAGCAGAGTTTTGCTGTGTTGAGCTCACATCAGCAGAGTTTTGCTGTGTTGAGCTCACATCAGCAGAGTTTTGCTGTGTTGAGCTCACACCAGCAGAGTTTTGCTGTGTTGAGCTCACATCAGCAGAGTTTTGCTGTGTTGAGCTCACATCAGCAGAGTTTTGCTGTGTTGAGCTCACATCAGCAGAGTTTTGCTGTGTTGAGCTCACACCAGCAGAGTTTTGCTGTGTTGAGCTCACACCAGCAGAGTTTTGCTGTGTTGAGCTCACACCAGCAGAGTTTTGCTGTGTTGAGCTCACATCAGCAGAGTTTTGCTGTGTTGAGCTCACATCAGCAGAGTTTTGTTGTGTGTTGAGCTCACACCAGCAGAGTTTTGCTGTGTTGAGCTCACATCAGCAGAGTTTTGCTGTGTTGAGCTCACACCAGCAGAGTTTTGCTGTGTTGAGCTCACATCAGCAGAGTTTTGCTGTGTTGAGCTCACACCAGCAGAGTTTTGCTGTGTTGAGCTCACATCAGCAGAGTTTTGCTGTGTTGAGCTCACATCAGCAGAGCTTTACTGAGGCTTGAGCTCACACCAGCAGAGTTTTGCTGTGTTGAGCTCACACCAGCAGAGCTTTACTGAGGCTTGAGCTCACACCAGCAGAGTTTTGCTGTGTTGAGCTCACATCAGCAGAGTTTTGCTGTGTTGAGCTCACATCAGCAGAGTTTTGTTGTGTGTTGAGCTCACACCAGCAGAGCTTTACTGAGGCTTGAGCTCACACCAGCAGAGCTTTACTGAGTCTTGTGCTCACACCTGCAGAGCTTTACTGTGTCTTGAGCTCACACCAGCAGAGCTTTACTGAGTCTTGAGCTCACACCAGCAGAGCTTTACTGAGGCTTGAGCTCACACCAGCAGAGCTTTACTGAGGCTTGAGCTCACACCAGCAGAGCTTTACTGAGGCTTGAGCTCACACCAGCAGAGCTTTACTGAGGCTTGAGCTCACACCAGCAGAGCTTTACTGAGGCTTGAGCTCACACCAGCAGAGCTTTACTGAGGCTTGAGCTCACACCAGCAGAGCTTTACTGAGTCTTGAGCTCACACCAGCAGAGCTTTACTGAGTCTTGAGCTCACACCAGCAGAGCTTTACTGAGGCTTGAGCTCACACCAGCAGAGCTTTACTGAGGCTTGAGCTCATTGTGAATAAAATATATATACGTGAATAAAATATATAAAGTCAATTTTATTTTAATATAATTATGTGAAACTTTTGAACTAAAGCAATATGAAGATGAATATATTACTAACATCCCGTCAAACACACACTGAAACTGCGACGTTGGTGGGGGCCTCGTAGCCTGGTGGATAGCGCGCAGGACTCGTAATTCTGTGGCGCGGGTTCGATTCCCGCACGAGGCAGAAACAAATGGGCAAAGTTTCTTTCACCCTGAATGCCCCTGTTACCTAGCAGTAAATAGGTACCTGGGAGTTAGTCAGCTGTCACGGGCTGCTTCCTGGGGGTGGAGGCCTGGTCGAGGACCGGGCCGCGGGGACACTAAAGCCCCGAAATCATCTCAAGATAACCTCAAGATAACCTTGGTACAACATTGGAACAAGTTTTAACACCTCCTAACCAGTTGTAACAACCAATATAGCAAGTTGTAACAAGAGGAAAATAAAGACAGTTACGGTTTGTGTTTCCGGGGATATGAGACCCGAGGCTTATTCTCCCGCCAGAACTACATTGGACATACGGCAGAGAGAGAGTGGGGAACCCTCCAGTCACCTATCTTGAGGTTATCTTGAGATGATTTCGGGGTTTAGCGTCCCCGTGGCCCGGTCCTCGACTAGGCGTTCTTTTTGTTACACATCCCCAGGAAGCAGCCCGTAGCAGCTGTCTAACTCCCAGGTACCTATTTACTGCTAGGTGAACAGGGACATTAGATAGAAAGAAACTCTGCCCATTTGTTTCCGCCTCCGTCGAGGATTGAACCCAGAATCTCAGGACTACGAATACCGAGCGCTGTCCACTCAGCCGTCAGGATCTCAACAATAATATGGTAACAATAATGATTATAATTGGGTTTATGAGGCCACTAATCACGTACAGCGTTTTGGGAAAGTCTTAATTAACATTAACATGTTCAAGACTTAAAATTAGTAAGTCGTTGAGGTTTTAAGAAATTAACAAATAGGCAAATCCTCAAATTAACAAGCGGTCAAGTCTTAAAACATACAAGTTGATATGTCTTAAATCAAAGTAGCCAAGTCTTAAACGAAGGAAAGGGAATTATCAGGAGAAAGCGCCGACCATTACGACTATATAGCACTGGGAAGGGGTCAGGATAAGAATTTGGGATGGGGACGGGGGGAAGGAATGGTGCCCAACCACTTGTGGACGGTCGGGGATTGAACGCCGACCTGCATGTAGATAACGTGAGTACTTACACAGTGGCCCAGGAGCTGCGGTTAACAGAGCTGCAGCTACAAATTAAAAAAAAAAATCATAAAATGATATATACTGGTCAGGGGCCAGATTCACGAAGCAGTTACGCAAGCACTTACGAATCTGTCCATCTTTTCTCAATCTTTGGCGGCTTTGTTTACAATTATTAAACAGTTAATGAGCTCGGAAGCACCAGGAGGCTGTTTATAACAATAACAACAGTTGATTGGCAAGTTTTCATGCTTGTAAACTGTTTAATAAATGTAACCAAAGCCGTGAAAGATTGAGGAAAGATGTACACGTTCGTAAGTACTTGCGTAACTGCTTCGTGAATCTGGCCCCTGGTAATTACGTCTGGGATGGGTGATGTAGTATGCAGGACACAAGTGGTAGTGAACACAGGTGTCTGGTCTGTGTCCTGACTGTGATCTCCTCCAACTGTGACAACTGCCATTTTCTTCCCTATGTCTACTGTCTCCCAAAAACTCCTTTTCGTCCTATCATGTCTTCAAGAGGCTGTGTCAAGTTATCCTCTTGCCTCGAGGCTTGCTATCACTCTCACGCCTCATCTTCATGCTGTTTCTCCTGTCCACCTTGGTCACTCTCAGCACTTCGTGGACAGACTGCGCCAGCTGCCCTCCTCTAAGATGTTAGGTCATGTTGATTCTCTTTTTACTCATGTTCCTCTTGATGATGTTATCTGTTTCCTGAGTGAGAAGGTGACTGAGGTGTCCTCCTTTAGCTGCAGCTTCCTGCTGAGGTCCTCCTTGATCTCTTCAGAGTGTGCTGGCTCAAGTCCTTCTCTTTTGATGGTCTATCTCTCTAAATTTTCCGGTATCGCTATCGGTTCTCTCTATCCTGTTCTTGCCAAGCTGTATATGGAGTACTTTGAAACCGTTCTTCATCCCACCATTGGTACTAGTCCCTCTGCCCTCCGGCTTCGCTATGTTGATATTTTGTGCTCTTTGGCCCCATGACGCCGTCTTTTCCAATCTTTTCTCTGCTATCATAACAATCTATCTTCTTCTATCTATTTCCTAGATGTACATGTTCACAGCTCTTTGTCTGGCTTTTCTTTATCGCAAGCCTTTGTACAGTGGGATGGACATTCACTTCTTTTCCTACCATCCTCCTCCTTCTGTTAAGAAAAGTGGCCTCGTCTCTATCTTCCTCCGCGCTCTACGCATCAGCGATCCTCAGTTTCTTAATTCTGAAATTTCTTTTATTTCCAAGTCTCTCTCTCTCTCGCCTTGGGCACCCCTTACATGTTATCAACTGTACCTATTCTCAAGCTAAAAGTTCTTTCATCCTAAACCTTTTCCCCTCACTAATGCCAGTGCTCTGTCTCCCCCTTGGTATAGCAACTCAACACTCTCACTAATACCCTTCGTTCTCCTGACTTAAAGTTCACCTTGCGACCAACTTACACACTTGGCAGTAATGTGGTTCACACTGCTGCTGCTGTTGCTGCTGCTGCTAATGCTGCTGCTGCTGCTAATGCTGCTGCTGCTGCTGCTGCTGCTGCTGCTGCTGATGCTGCTGCTGCTGCTAATGCTGCTGCTAATGCTGCTGTTGCTGCTGCTGCTGCTGCTGCTGCTGCTAATGCTGCTGGCGTCTACTCTATTTCCTGATGGTCTTGTCCTCTCCAATACTGTGGTAAAACTGGCCCTACACTTAATGACAGACTTAAGGAGCACACAAGAAGTGTTAAGTCTGCAGACACAAACAATGCTCTCTTCTGTCACGTTAGGGATTCTAATCATCCTATTGATTGGTCTTCTAAAATAATCTTTCCTGCCTCTACTCTTTACAGACGCCGTCTTATCAACTCGGCTCTGAAACGCAATTGAGTACAGCCGATGAGTATTATTGAGTACAGTACAGCCTGAACCATTCTCAATCGACTTGTGAATGGTCCAGGACGGATCGAAACGTCGTCGTCCCTTCACTTTCTAGTGTGTGATCTGGTCAACACAATTGAGTACATCTGATACATATGACCCCCTGGATGTACCTGTTGCGTTGCAACGTTGCAGTTGAATTGGTGTTGCTTTGCAACAATTGTACTTCTGTTGTTCTACTGCTTCCTTTTCGTACTGCTCCTAAGTGGTTCGTAGTTGGTTGAATTCTTGTACCAACCCGCAGATCCTGATGTTACAACTGCTGTGTTGTGGTCACTGTACATCTTTTGCATTGCTCTGTTTCTAATTACTTTCTTAATCTGTGATAGACTCTGTGGTATGTAAATGACTACATTTCTTCTCTTAGTTGCAAGTTTTGCATCTTCGTCTGCAATGTCATTTCCATTTATTCCCACATGAGTTAGCACCAAGTTGATAAGTACTCAACGGCCTCGACGTTTGAGAGTTTGCATTAATGATATGACGTTTGTAATCAGGTGGATGTTGTCACATATGTACTCACATAATTGTGCTTGCATGGGTTGAGCTTTGGCTCTTTGGTCTTGTTGCAAGGATTTCAATGGCAGTTGTCAAATCTGTATGATAACATGTTGCTGGTGTCCAGCAAGAGCATGTTCCAAAGCGTTTTGGATGGCTAACATCTCTGTTTGTAAAGTTGAGCGCCCGTCTGAGAGCCTACAACTGCAGAATTTTCTGCAGCTCCAGATTCTTGTCCCTGCTGGTCTACGGATCCGTAAGGAAGCGTGTGAAGCTGTCAGGTACAAAGTTTGCTTCTATATTCACCTGCAATGTTGCAGAGCAAATGATGGAGGTGGCTTTCCCAACCTTTTCTTTCCATGCATTCCACTGTTGACCACCCAAACACCGGTCGAGTATTTCTTTAAATATTTTCAACTCATTACATATAAAGCTTCTACCCGTGTCCTCTCCTTTCTCTGAATTTAATAACGTTATTCTTGTTAATCGTGTCTATACCCCTCAGTATCTGGAACGTTGTGATCATATCACCTATGTGTATTTTCTCCTCCAGGGAGGTGAGATGCAGTTCCTTTAACCTGTCCTTATACTTCACATCTCTTAATTCTGACACTAATCTTGCTGCCAACCTCAGCACATATGGAAGCAAAGTTTTGTGCGTCGCTAGATACACAAAGTGAAGCAGAAAATTTCACCGCGTGACTGACTGCTGGGTGAACAGCGGCATTAGACGGAAGGAAACGTGCCCAATCATTTCTCTCTTTTTCCGGGAAGCGATCTCAAAATGCCTCGATTGACAATCTAGAATGAGCCCAACTGTACTACATGCTGTAAATTTGGTTAATACAGTACACCAAATGTGTAATTAGTGAAAACGTGAATAAATGTACCACAGTAGTATCCAGAATCACCGGTTGTGAGTGGAGAGCGAAGCCCACTGTACTACGGGACCCTTATGTCAACATCCACGCCCGTACCTCCAGACACAACCCACATACCAGAAAATAAAGTAACTGGCGACGTTTCGGTCCACCGTGAACCACTATCGTATAATGGATATTGCGAATCGATTCCTGTAAATGCCTCCCATTAGGGTTCACAAGCCATCTAGTCTAATATGTCCCTTCGCTATCATCATTACCTTACACTTGTTGGCGGGTGAAGGTTAACAGCCACTTGTCTGACCTCTCCTGGAATGTGTCAAAGGCTTTTTGTAACTGCAATTTTCGGCTCTTACATCCTCATTAACTTTGTATTATCTGGGAACATTAACATGTGAGAGTTCCACCACGCAGGTCATTCACTTTAGTTATAAACAGGATTTACATGAGGATTGATCCTTTGAGGACTCCACTTCTCAACTCCTTCCAGCTTAACACTTCCTGTCTATCAAACTTTCTCTCGTCTCATTCTTCCTAAAAATTTCCAGTGTTTTCTCAGTTTATTTCTCCAGCTTACACAACGGCTTCGATATAAACTTAACGTTTATATATACTGGCTGCCTGTCCCCCGACACTATTATTAATTATGTTCACCTACAAGCTGAGTGGCGTTGCCCAATAGTGTATCCATCTAGTTGTGCTTGCTAGGGTTGAGCTCTGGCTCTTTGGTCCCGCCACTCAACTGTCAATCAACTGGTGTACAGATTCCTGAGCCTATTGGGCTCTATCATATCTACACTTGAAGCTGTGTATGGAGTCTGCCTCCACCAGTATGGTGTCTGCCACCACCAGTATGGTGTCTGCCACCACCAGTATGGTGTCTGCCACCACCAGTATGGTGTCTGCCTCCACTAGTATGGTGTCTGCCACCACCAGTATGGTGTCTGCCACCACCAGTATGGTGTCTGCCTCCACTAGTATGGTGTCTGCCACCACCAGTATGGTGTCTGCCGCCACTAGTATGGTGTCTGCCACCACCTGTATGGTGTCTGCCTCCACTAGTATGGTGTCTGCCACCACCAGTATGGTGTCTGCCGCCACTAGTATGGTGTCTGCCACCACCAGTATGGTGTCTGCCACCACCAGTATGGTGTCTGCCACCACCTGTATGGTGTCTGCCTCCACCAGTATGGAGTCAGCCTCCACCAGTATGGTGTCTGCCACCACCTGTATGGTGTCTGCCTCCACTAGTATGGTGTCTGCCACCACCAGTATGGTGTCTGCCGCCACTAGTATGGTGTCTGCCTCCACAAGTATGGTGTCTGCCACCACCAGTATGGTGTCTGCCTCCACCAGTATGGTGTCTGCCACCACCTGTATGGTGTCTGCCTCCACTAGTATGGTGTCTGCCACCACCAGTATGGTGTCTGCCACCACCAGTATGGTGTCTGCCACCACCAGTATGGTGTCTGCCACCACCAGTATGGTGTCTGCCACCACCAGTATGGTGTCTGCCACCACCAGTATGGTGTCTGCCACCACCAGTATGGTGTCTGCCACCACCTGTATGGTGTCTGCCACCACCTGTATGGTGTCTGCCACCACCTGTATGGTGTCTGCCACCACCAGTATGGTGTCTGCCTCCACCAGTATGGTGTCTGCCTCCACCAGTATGGTGTCTGCCACCACCAGTATGGTGTCTGCCACCACCAGTATGGTGTCTGTCTCCACCAGTATGGTGTCTGCCACCACCAGTATGGTGTCTGCCACCACCAGTATGGTGTCTGCCACCACCAGTATGGTGTCTGCCTCCACCAGTATGGTGTCTGCCTCCACCAGTATGGTGTCTGCCACCACCAGTATGGTGTCTGCCACCACCAGTATGGTGTCTGCCACCACCAGTATGGTGTCTGCCACCACCAGTATGGTGTCTGCCTCCACCAGTATGGTGTCTGCCACCACCAGTATGGTGTCTGCCACCACCAGTATGGTGTCTGCCACCACCAGTATGGTGTCTGCCACCACCTGTATGGTGTCTGCCACCACCTGTATGGTGTCTGCCACCACCTGTATGGTGTCTGCCACCACCAGTATGGTGTGGGAACCGACCTGTGAGATTTATATTTATTTAATTTATATGAATTTATATTTACGTTAATTTATATACTTCGATAGCAATTTGTATAATGATAAGTGGACTGTATTTCTGCAATAATCTCATAATCTCACAAATCGATCCTCTACACATTAGGGGGGGTTTATATTACACATATGCAGCCAATCAAATTACAGTAATAGCTACATACATTGATGAGGTTCCTTCTCTTATAGTACAGCAGGTTAGTCCACCAGGTATAACTAGAGTGTAGACACCAAATTATCCTCTTTGAGGTAGCTTCTATCACCCAGTAACTGGTGCACATAATCTTGCATCCTCGTCTTGACCTGTCAAAAGTGCGCTAGCTGTGAAGCCAGAATCCTATATATGACAAGCTATATCAGAGAAAACACTATACAGTACATGGAACATTAAAGACCTGGCTTAATTACCTTTAGTATGAGGCGATTTCGCGTTCTAACCGGCTAACCCTATATCCTGACATTAATGGCCATAAATGAATGATAAACGGGTTTCGGATAGACACTTAACTTGTATTTGTAGACAGCGTGTTGACAATGGTACACCTTTGGGTTCCATAACACTACGTCCAAGTAAATTTAACAGGAGCCGAATTTGCTCCCGTGTGAGCCTCTGGTCTCATTAACAATGGCTGCCCTCCTTCCTCCACTCTGACGCCTGGCTTACATTGTCCAGATTTCAGAACGTGATAGAAGGGTCACATTTACTCTACTTTAATATTGATAATTAAGTTAATTTATATAAGATGTTTTTATGATGGTAAAGTCCAAAGACTTATGTATTTAAGAACAATTCCCAGCAGAATAGCTGGTGAATTATAATAGTATGTGGTGATGATATCCCGTTTTCTATAGACGGTAATTCCACTACAAGTTACGTTTTCTATGGGTAACTTGTTGGTAATACAGCTATTATCTGTATGATTATTAAATGGTGTCGGATTTTCCGACATATGGTGTCTGCCTCCACCAGTATGGTGTCTGCCACCACCAGTATGGTGTCTGCCACCACCAGTATGGTGTCTGCCACCACCAGTATGGTGTCTGCCACCACCAGTATGGTGTCTGCCACCACCAGTATGGTGTCTGCCACCACCAGTATGGTGTCTGCCACCACCAGTATGGTGTCTGCCACCACCAGTATGGTGTCTGCCTCCACCAGTATGGTGTCTGCCACCACCTGTATGGTGTCTGCCACCACCAGTATGGTGTCTGCCACCACCAGTATGGTGTCTGCCACCACCAGTATGGTGTCTGCCTCCACCAGTATGGTGTCTGCCACCACCAGTATGGTGTCTGGGACACCTGACATGGGACACCCGGCGTGGGACACCAGACATGGGACTCCCGGCGTGGGACACCAGACATGGGACACCCGGCGTGGGACACCAGACATGGGACTCCCGGCGTGGGACACCAGACATGGGACACCCAGTGTGGGACACCAGACATGGGACTCCCGGCGTGGGACACCAGACATGGGACACCCAGTGTGGGACACCAGACATGAGACACCCGGCGTGGGACATCCGACATTGGACACCCGGCGTGGGACACCAGACATGGGACACCCGGCGTGGGACACCAGACATGGGACACCCGGCGTGGGACATCCGACATTGGACACCCGGCGTGGGACACCAGACATGGGACACCCGGCGTGGGACACCAGACATGGGACACCCGGCGTGGGACACAAGGCGTGGGACACCAGACATGGGACATCCGACATGGGACACCAGACATGGGACACCAGACGTGGGACACCAGACATGGGACACCCGGCGTGGGACACCAGACATGGGACACCAGACATGGGACACCCGGCGTGGGACACCCGGCTTGGGACATCCGACATTGGACACCCGGCGTGGGACACCAGACATGGGACACCCGGCGTGGGACACCCGGCGTGGGACACCAGACATGGGACTCCCGGCGTGGGACACCAGGGACACCAGACATGGGGCACCCAGCGTGGGACACCAGACATGGGACACCTGACATGGGACACCAGACATGGGACACCAGACATGGGACTCCCGGCGTGGGACACCAGGGACACCAGACATGGGGCACCCAGCGTGGGACACCAGACATGGGACACCTGACATGGGACACCAGACATGGGACACCAGACATGGGACACCCAGCGTGGGACACCAGACATGGGACACCTGACATGGGACACCCGGCGTGGGACACCAGACATGGGACACCCGGCGTGGGACACCAGACATGGGACACCCGGCGTGGGACACCAGACATGGGACACCCGGCGTGGGATACAAGGCGTGGGACACCAGACATGGGACACCCGACATGGGACACCAGACATGGGACACCCGACGTGGGACACCAGACATGGGACACCCGGCGTGGGACACCAGACATGGGACACCCGGCGTGGGACACCAGACATGGGATACCAGACATGGGACACCAGACATGGGACACCAGGCATGGGACACCAGACATGGGATACCCGGCGTGGGACACCAGACATGGGACACCAGACATGGGACACCCGGCGTGGGACACCAGGCGTGGGACACCAGACATGGGACACCCGACGTGGGACACCAGACATGGGACACCAGACATGGGACACCAGACATGGGACACCCGGCGTGGGACACCAGACATGGGATACCCGGCGTGGGACACCACACATGGGACACCCGGCGTGGGACACCAGACATAGGACACCCGGCGTGGGACACCAGACATGGGACACCCGACGTGGGACACCAGACATGGTACACCCGACGTGGGACACCAGACATGGGACACCCGACGTGGGACACCAGACATGGGACACCCGACGTGGGACACCAGACATGGGACACCCGGCGTTGGACACCAGACATGGGACACCCGGCGTATGACACCCGGCGTGGGACACCAGACATGGGACACCCGGCGTGGGACACCAGACATGGGACACCAGACATGGGACACCCGGCGTGGGACACCAGACATGGGACACCCGGCGTGGGACACCAGGCGTGGGACACCAGACATGGGACACCCGACGTGGGACACCAGACATGGGACACCAGACGTGGGACACCAGACATGGGACACCCGGCGTGGGACACCAGACATGGGATACCCGGCGTGGGACACCAGACATGGGACACCCGGCGTGGGACACCAGACATAGGACACCCGGCGTGGGACACTAGACATGGGACACCCGACGTGGGACACCAGACATGGTACACCCGACGTGGGACACCAGACATGGGACACCCGGCGTGGGACACCAGACATGGGACACCCGACGTGGGACACCAGACATGGGACACCCGACGTGGGACACTAGACATGGGACACCCGGCGTGGGACACCAGACATGGGACACCCGGCGTGGGACACCAGACATGGGACACCCGGCGTGGGACACCCGGCGTGGGACACCAGACATGGGACACCCGGCGTGGGACACCAGACATGGGACACCAGACATGGGACACCCGGCGTGGGACACCAGACATGGGACACCCGACGTGGGACATCAGACATGGGACACTAGACATGGGACACCCGGGGTGGGACACCAGACATGGGACACCAGACATGGGACACCCGGCGTGGGACACCAGACATGGGACACCCGGCGTGGGACACCCGGCGTGTGACACCCGACATCGGACACCAGACATGGGACACCCGGCGTGGGACACCAGACATGGGACACCAGACATGGGACACCCGACATGGGACTCCCGGCGTGGGACACCCGCCATTCGAGACCAGACATGGGACACCCTGCGTGGGACACCAGTCATGGGACACCAGACACGGGACACCAGTCATGGGACACCCGGCGTTGGACACCCGGCGTTGGACTCCAGACATGGGACACCCGACGTGGGACACCAGTCATGGGACACACGACATGGGACACCAGACATGGGACACCCGGCGTGGGACACCAGACATTGGACACCCAGCGTGGGACACCAGACATGGGACACCCGACATGGGACACCCGGCGTGGGACACCAGACATGGGACACCCGACATGGGACACCAGACATGAGACACCAGACATGGGACACCAGACATGGGACACCAGACATGGGACACCAGACATTGGACACCCGGCGTGGGACACCAGACATGGGACACCCGACGTGGGACACCAGTCATGGGACATCCGACATGGGACACCAGACATGGGACACCAGACATGGGACACCCGACGTGGGACACCCGGCGTGGGACACCCGGCATGGGACACCAGACATGGGACACCAGACATGAGACACCAGACATGGGACACCAGACATTGGACACCCGACATGGGACACCAGACATGGGACACCCGACATGGGACACCCGACATGGGACACCAGACATGGGACACCCGGCGTGGGACACCAGACATGGGACACAGGTCAACAAAGAGTCGCCGACACCAGAAACATTTTGACAAAGTCGGCGCCGAACTCCACCTCTCCGTCCTGGGACTTTTTCAACGCACAAACTCCAGGAACTTTGACGTTGCCTCCTTCGATCAACAACAGTTCGAGCTGCCGAAGAAGCTGCTGTATGGAGCTACAGTGGGTCAAGAACACGCTACGTCTTGAGGCGTCGTCAGGGCGACGCAGGAGCCAGACCCAAGCGTCGCGACGTCCATCCGTGAACACTGAAGGAGACTTCCCCAGCGACGTCTCCTGACAAGTGGCGCCAGTGTCAACAACAGCGGCGGCCATCACAACTATCTTTCTCCCTCGTTCCACTCTACAAAATGACTGGAATTGCTTCTCCAGAGGCACATAAATGCGTTCAGGAAATGAACTCCAAAATGAATTTACATAAGCAACATGAATGAGCTTGTTACGAAGTCGATAATCATATCTACTAACAGTTAATGGAACTACCATCAGCGTGAGCTGTTACTCCCGTGGTGTAGGTGAGCCAGACCAACGGGCCAACCGCTGGACTCGGGTGATCTTCCCACTGAGCAATTTAACATGTCCGGTTGAGCTGGTTGTAAATATGTTTATAATGTGGGTACCTTGGTGGCCGGCCTCCCCCGGGGGCGGCGCCGGCGGGGAGGGCACCACCACCACCACACTCACTCACAACACACTCACAATACACTCACAACACACTCACAATACACTCACAACACACTCACAATACACTCACAACACACTCACAATACACTCAACACTCAATACACTCACAACACACAATACACTCAGAAGACACTCACAACACACAATACACTCACAACACACAACACACAATACACTCAGAAGACACTCACAACACACAATACACTCACAACACACAACACTCACAACACACAATACACTCAGAAGACACTCACAACACACAATATACTCACAATACAGTCACAACTCACAATACACTCACAACTCATAATACACTCACAACTCATAATACACTCACAACTCATAATACACTCACAACACACGCCTGGTTGATACCTGGTTGATGGGGTTCTGGGAGTTCTTCTACTGCCCAAGCCCGGCCCGAGGCCAGGCTTGACTTGTGAGAGTTTGGTCCACCAGGCTGTTGCTTGGAGCGGCCCGCAGGCCCACATATACCTGCTTGATGGGGTTCTGGGAGTTCTTCTACTGCCCAAGCCCGGCCCGAGGCCAGGCTTGACTTGTGAGAGTTTGGTCCACCAGGCTGTTGCTTGGAGCGGCCCGCAGGCCCACATATACCTGCTTGATGGGGTTCTGGGAGTTCTTCTACTCCCCAAGCCCGGCCCGAGGCCAGGCTTGACTTGTGAGAGTTTGGTCCACCAGGCTGTTGCTTGGAGCGGCCCGCAGGCCCACATATACCTGCTTGATGGGGTTCTGGGAGTTCTTCTACTCCCCAAGCCCGGCCCGAGGCCAGGCTTGACTTGTGAGAGTTTGGTCCACCAGGCTGTTGCTTGGAGCTGCCCGCAGGCCCACATATACCTGGTTGATGGGGTTCTGGGAGTTCTACTCCCCAAGACCGGCCCGAGGCCAGGCTTGACTTGTGAGAGTTTGGTCCACCAGGCTGTTGCTTGGAGCGGCCCGCAGGCTCACATATACCTGCTTGATGGGGTTCTAGGAGTTCTTCTACTCCCCAAGCCCGGCCCGAGACCAGGCTTGACTTGTGAGAGTTTGGTCCACCAGGCTGTTGCTTGGAGCGGCCCGCAGGCCCACATATACCTGCTTGATGGGGTTCTGGGAGTTCTACTCCCCAAGCCCGGCCCGAGGCCAGGCTTGACTTGTGAGAGTTTGGTCCACCAGGCTGTTGCTTGGAGCGGCCCGCAGGCCCACATATACCTGCTTGATGGGGTTCTGGGAGTTCTACTCCCCAAGCCCGGCCCGAGGCCAGGCTTGACTTGTGAGAGTTTGGTCCACCAAGCTGTTGTTTGGAGTGGTCCGCAGGCCCACATACCCACCACAGCCCGGTTGGTCCGGCACTCCTTGGAGGAAACTATCTAGTTTCCTCTTGAAGATGTCCACGGTTGTTCCGGCAATATTTCTGATGCTCGCTGGGAGGATGTTGAACAACCGCGGACCTCTGATGTTTATACAGTGTTCTCTGGTTGTGCCTATAGCACCTCTGTTCTTCACTGGTTCTATTCTGCATTTTCTTCCATATCGTTCACTCCAGTACGTTGTTATTTTACTGTGTAGATTTGGGACCTGCCCCTCCAGTATTTTCCACGTGTATATTATTTGGTATCTCTCTCGTCTTCTTTCTAGACCTTACCATTAAAGAACCTTACCTTACGCTTCCAATACCGGAAGCACCTCAAGGCATCTCTCTCGTCTCCTTTCTAGTGAGTACATTTGGAGAGCTTTGAGACGATCCCAATAATTTAGGTGTTTTATCTCGTCTATGCGTGCCGTATATGTTCTCTGTATTCCCTCTATTTCAGCAATCTCTCCTGCTCTGTAGAGGGAAGTGAGTACTGAGCAGTACTCAAGACGGGACAGTACAAGTGATTTGTATAGTACAACCATTGTGATGGGATCCCTGGATTTGAAAGTTCTCGTAATCCATCCGATCATTTTTCTGACTGACGCAATATTTGCTTGGTTATGCTCCCTAAACGTTAGGTCGTCAGACATTATTATTCCCAAATCCTTTACATGCTGCTTTCACACTATGGGAAGATTCGATTGAGTTTTGTACCCTGTATTATGTTTCAGGTCCTCATTTTTACCGTATCTGAGTACCTGAAATTTATCACTGTTAAACTTCATGTTATTTTCTGCAGACCCAATCGAAAACTTTGTTAATATCTGCTTGTAATTTTTAAATATCTTCAGCAGAGGTAATTTTCATGCTGATTTTTGTGTCATCTGCGAAGGATGACACGGATGAAGGATGACAGAATATACTCACAACACACTCACAAAACACAACACACACTCACAAAACACAACACACACACACACAAAACGCTGCCCAATACTGTCACTATGGCGGTGTGTCCACTCACAGGATGAGTGGCGCTGCCCAATACTGTCACTATAGCGGTGTGTCCACTCACAGGATGAGTGGCGCTGCCCAATACTGTCACTATGGTGGTGTGTCGACTCACAGGATGAGTGGCGCTGCCCAATACTGTCACTATGGCGGCGTGTCCACTCACAGGATGAGTGGCGCTGCCCAATACTGTCACTATGGCGGTGTGTCCACTCACAGGATGAGTGGCGCTGCCCAATACTGTCACTATAGCGGTGTGTCCACTCACAGGATCAGTGGCGCGGCCCAATACTGTCACTATGGCGGTGTGTCGACTCACAGGATGAGTGGCGCTGCCCAATACTGTCACTATGGCGGTGTCCACTCACAGGATGAGTGACGCTGCCCAATACTGTCACTATGGCGGTGTCCACTCACAGGATGAGTGGCGCTGCCCAATACTATCACTATGGCGGTGTGTCCACTCACAGGATGAGTGGCGCTGCCCAAAACTGTCACTATGGCGGTGTGTCCACTCACAGGATGAGTGACGCTGCCCAATACTGTCACAATGGCGGTGTGTCCACTCACAGGATGAGTGGCGCTGCCCAATACTCTCACTATGGCGGTGTGTTCACTCACAGGATGAGTGGCGCTGCCCAATACTGTCACTATGGCGGTGTGTCCACTCACAGGATGAGTGGCGCTGCCCAATACTGTCACTATGGCGGTGTGTCCACTCACAGGATGAGTGGCGCTGCCCAATACTGTCACTATGGCGGCGTGTCCACTCACAGGATGAGTGGCGCTGCCCAATACTGTCACTATGGCGGCGTGTCCACTCACAGGATGAGTGGCGCTGCCCAATACTGTCACTATGGCGGTGTGTCCACTCACAGGATGAGTGGCGCTGCCCAATACTGTCAATATGGCGGCGTGTCCACTCACTGGATGAGTGACGCTGCCCAATACTGTCACTATGGCGGCGTGTCCACTCACAGGATGAGTGACGCTGCCCAATACTGTCACTATGGCGGCGTGTCCACTCACAGGATGAGTGGCGCTGCCCAATACTGTCACTATGGCGGCGTGTCCACTCACAGGATGAGTGACGCTGCCCAATACTGTCACTATGGCGGCGTGTCCACTCACAGGATGAGTGGCGCTGCCCAATACTGTCACTATGGCGGCGTGTCCACTCACAGGATGAGTGGCGCTGCCCAATACTGTCACTATGGCGGTGTGTCCACTCACAGGATGAGTGGCGCTGCCCAATACTGTCACTATGGCGGTGTGTCCACTCACAGGATGAGTGGCGCTGCCCAATACTGTCACTATGGCGGTGTGTCCACTCACAGGATGAGTGGCGCTGCCCAATACTGTCACTATGGCGGCGTGTCCACTCACAGGACCTTATCTTGAGGTTACCTTGAGGTGCTTCCGGGGCTTAGCGTCCCCAATACTGTCACTATGGCGACCAGTCCTCACTGGTTGCTGGACTGCCCAACCTGGCACTTAGACGCGACTGCTCGCAGCCTGACGTATGAGTCACAGCCTGGTTGATCAGGATGAGTGGCGCTGCCCAATACTGTCACTATGGCGGCGTGTCCACTCACAGGATGAGTGACGCTGCCCAATACTGTCACTATGGCGGTGTGTCCACTCACAGGATGAGTGGCGCTGCCCAATACTGTCACTATGGCGGCGTGTCCACTCACAGGATGAGTGGCGCTGCCCAATACTGTCACTATGGCGGCGTGTCCACTCACAGGATGAGTGGCGCTGCCCAATACTGTCACTATGGCGGCGTGTCCACTCACAGGATGAGTGGCGCT